CGATCGCCGCGCCTCGCCGCGCCTCGCCCGCCGGTCGCCGCCTCGCCGTCCGGCCACCGGAGCCAGCAAATCCCCCGCCGGCCATCTCCTCCCCGCTCCGACATCGCGGGACGATCTCCGGCGAACCTCGAACCGCGCGCCAGATCTAGATCCAGATCCACGGTTGACCTCATTTTTCTTCTCTAAGTCTTTTTCTGTGTTATTTTCATGCCATGTTCATCACTTCACATCTCCATGACCGTTGGTCCGATTTGTGCTTGTAATATATCAAAATGTTCATTGAGAGATGCTCTTTATTTTATTCCATTGTGACTTGCTTGTTTGAGTTCATCTTGATGCCTAAATCATTGTTGCAAGAGTGCTATATGATGTTAACCTGCTGAGACTGCTATAACTTGGTGATTTGTCGTTTTCATTGCATTTTGTGTGTGCATCCTATGAGCATGAGCTCTACATGTGTTTTGATATACACCATGCCATCTTTACATAGGTGCTTGTATTGTATTTTTGTGATCTATGTGGTGACTAGCACAAGCATGCAAAATAGCCTTTATGATGTTGCTGATTTCTGTGACTTGGTCATTTCTGCTAAGTCTGAGTCTGTTATATTTTGTTGCTAGGTAAACCTGCTGTTACCATGAGTTCTATGCATAATCTGGAGATGTTCACTAAGGATGTTTTGTTACACATGTCATGCTCTATTCACCCATGCCACTGTTTGCAATTATGGAGTGCTCTAGAATGTCATGTTTTTGCTCTACTTTTGCTATAAAATGTTCCTGGCAGAATGTTAACATGCTAATCAATTTTTGCCATGGTTGTTGCTAGTGATCCAAGCATGCTATGAACTTGCTCTTGCCATGGTTAGTTTCATAAACATGTATTTTGCTTGTTCTGGCTTAATTAAATGAGTAGTCTAAACATATTTGGGACCTGGGGTAAATCAAAATAAGTATTTTTATACCAAACTTTTATGCATATATAAAATTATTGTACTATACTAACATAGTAGTGAGTAGGATTTCAATTATTTAGCTGTATATAAGCACATAAAAATGTTGTGTAATACTAAACATAACATCATTTGTTTGTATTTGAATATTTGTCATTCAAAAAAACCATGCCTACTAATTTTCAATTGTGTGTTTAAAAAAGGGTTGCCGTCCAACAATGCATATGCATATATTTGTGTGTATTTGCATATGTTCATGTATATTTTAATATCATTACTGAATTTTTTTGTCTAACTAATATCTTAATAGAGTTTTCCGGTGTATTACTAGATAAGCATATTTCTAGAAGTTTCTAATGGCCCGCAAGACACATAGGGTGGTGTAGCACTTTCATGGAATTATCCCAATTAATTGTTGCCCCAACGAAGAGCAAAGCGGAGTATTTATAAATAGCGTTTCTGTCACACAAGTTGTCCATTTCTTATGTGAAGTAACTGCTTGTGATCTGCAAACACTGTTACTGTTCCAAGAGGCAAATAAACCTGAGTGGTAAATAAGAAGAGTTGATAGCAACGAGAGTAATAACACTTGAAAGTGATGAACAAAGATAAAACG